ATATATCATTTTTAATTATAGATGAGAGAGTTACCAGGTCTTTTAATGGATATGGATATCTTAAATTGATTATATCCTGATTCTATATTGAAATTAGAATATATCTTGGATTGTACATTATATATACATGATGTATTATACTATTATTTATTTTATTAGTCAATTATCTCTATTAGTTAGGAGCAGAGAATAATTTTATTATTGGTTGACAGTAGATGAAAGGTTTGTTAGATCTCTTTTTATTTCATTGAGTTTAATTTTGAAAAATTCTTGAGAGACTGCAGAGATTTAACTGACTGTTTCGAGATTTGTAGGATTTTCTCTTTATATTTGCTGAAATAATGATATTTTGACCACTTCCTTCATACGCCGAAGCTCTGCGAACTGCGCAGTTGACGCAGCGACTGCGTTTGAGCGGCAATTTGGAGTTTACTATGGGGACTTAATTGTTGAAGAACTTTTTTTATGCTGAACTTGCGGAATCAAACTTTCAGAATTACTTTAATATGTGTATGGCCTTGCAAATTTGAAGGAAATGGGGTGGATTTGGGATCAGTGTCGAAATTATTGCAAAAACAAAAATTATATAAAATATTCATGAATCTAAAAACAATTTTTGAAGTCTCTAGCTCTAAAGATATAGAAGATATAGTGCTATAAATGAATTCTAAAAAAGAATTAGAATTAGAATTAGAAATAATATAGCTATCAATTATACTGGATATAATTATAACTATACAATTATAATAGATATATTTCAATTGCTAAGCTGTAATTATATGAGATGTATCTATTATAACATTTTCTATATTATATTATAATTCATGCAAATTAATATATAATAGCAGATATCACAATAAAGTCTGAGCTCTAATATCCAATAAATAATAAAACTCAAAAATATACATTACTATTTAATTTAATGGAGTCAAAAAAGATTTTATTTCAATATTAAAAAAAAAAAAAAAAAAAAAAAAAACCTATTATTTCCATCGTTTCAATTATACTGAACATCCTCCACTTCAGTGAGCTTTATTCAGTCAGCAAACTCAACCCATGTTGGCCTGTGTAATCCAATTTACAATTTTCCCATTGCATATTAAAACGAACAATTTGTTCTGTGGAGAATCCAATTAATTTATTGATAATTTGCTTTTGCCGTGGCATTTGGTGAGTAAAACTTGATTTTTTTTTTCATTTGACATTCATTTGGAATTCGAAGTGTAATATATTTAAATATTTCATTAAACTTTGCTTTATGTATGTATGTAGTATTGCATATGCGTATATAATATTTGCATGTATTGAATATTGAACATTGACACCAATTGAAACGGTTGAAATTCACATTTAGATATTGATCAATATAGTAGTAGTAGTATTTGCTTGATAAATGCATATTCTTTTTTTATTTTATTTATTTATTCATTTTTTTTTTTATATTTAACTATTAAGTGCGACGCTTTAAAGACGCCGTCTGCTCGCTATGTGTGTGTGTGTGTGTGTGTGTGTATGTCTATGAGTATGTTCTATATGTATGTCTATGTCTATATATGTTTGTCTATGTATATGTATGTTTGTGTATTTATTTGATTGTGTGTGTTTGGGTATATTTAGGTTATTTGGGTATAATATTTTCTTTTTCATTTGGTTAATATTTGCAATTTGCTATTCATATTCATAGTAATATTGTTGTATTTTCTTTTGCGTTTTCTTATGTCTTCCTCATTTGCATTTGCTTTCCACACTCCCTTCGCTTTTCTCATTTCTTAAGTACTCACTTCGGTGCCTGCCTTATTCGATATTCTCCTTCTTACATAACTATAGATTTTTGTTCTTGTCATATATATATATATA